CACGAGTTTTGTAGGATGTATTATTCTTGGGTGGCAGTTTTTTTCTTTCAGGGTTTTAAATATGTCATCCCATTGCCTTTTTGCCTGCATGGTTTCTGCCATGTAATCAGAGCTTAGTCTTATCGTTTCCCTTTTGTATGTGATTTTTTGTTTTTCTTGAGCTGCTCTCAGGATTCTTTGTCTTTGGTTTTAGGGAGTGTGATTATGATGTCTTGGTGATTTTCTTTTAGGGTCTATCCTATGTGGGATTCGTTGAGCTTCTTGGATGATCGAAATTTCATCTTTCATGACATAATGGAAGTTTTCTGTCAGTAAATCTTCAATGATCCTCTCTGTTTTCCATTTTCTCTCCCTGTTCTGGAACTCTGATCACATGCAGATTTTTGCTCTTGATTGTATGCCACATCGTTCTCAGGGTTTCTTCAGTTTTCTTCTCTGATTTTTCCTCAAACAAAGTGGTATCCAAGGATTTTTCTTCAATCTTGCTGATCCTATCTTTCATTGTTTCAGATTTGCTCCTAAAACCTTCTATTGCGCTATCTATTCCTGAAATCTTGTTGTTTATCTTTTGAATTGCTAATTACTATTTTTGTATGATTGCCAGTTGCTTATTGTGACATTTTGTTCCTGTATTATTTTCCTGAATCCTTCCATTGTTTTGTCTGTGTTTTCCCTGATTTTGTCTGTATTTTCCATGAATTTTGTCTATTTTTTCCTTACTTTTGTCTGTGTTTTCTGTCATCTCTTGGATATCCCTGAATATTAGTGTTTTGAATTCCCTACTGCTATTTCCAGTGTCTTTTCTTCTACCGGAAGGCCATCTGGTGTTTTATTTTGGTTGCTTTCTGGAGCCATCCTGTCCTGTTTTTTTAATATGTTTTGATATTGTCTGCTGTCTTTGGGACATTCAGGAATTATTTTCTTCATTTATTGATTGTAGATTTGTTTTTGTCCTGCTTTTTTGTTTTATTTGGTTATGTCTGAGCAGGTGGGCTGGGCGTGCTTTGTTGCTTGCTCATCTGCAGGCATGATACTTCTCACTACCTTGTCTAGGTGGGCAGGGCTGGTTGCTCAGCCATGGTGCAGCAGGGCAGGTCCAGTGGGGGTGGCGAGGGGTGGGGCTGGGTAGTTTGTGGCATGTATTGGGGCCAACAAGGCAGGGCTTGGGGGCAGTGCAGGGCAGGGTCCGGTGGTCTGTGCCAGTGCTGCTCAGGGGCACGGTGCTTGGCACATGGTGCAGATAGGGCAGGAGGGAAGGGAGAGTATGTGATGTATGGAGCTAAGTAGGTGAGAGAAAGAAAAAGAATCAAAAAAAAAAAAAAAAAAGGAAGGGAAATAAAGTAAATAAAATGGCAGTGCAGTAGGATTTGGTGGGTGGGGGCGGGGCAGATCCATTGAGGCCAAATGCCAGTGTCTTTCTAGCTGAGCAATGCAGCTCAGCCTGTCAAGAAATGGCGTGGGTGGTGCACAGGGCTAGGTGGGCAGGGAAAGAGAGAGAAGAGACAACAACAAAACAAACAAAAAAATATGGTGTGGGGGAGCCAGCCATTGGGGGAGGGGCTGAATTGGGGTGGTGGCAAGCTGATGTCTCTCTTGCCAGGTGATGCAGCACTGCCTGTCAGGAAGGGACAGAGGCAGCACAGGGCCTAGATGGGAGGAAGAAGGGAAAAGATAAATAAAAAATATAGTGCTGAGGGAGCCAGCTTGTGGGAGCAGTGCAGACCTGGGGAAGCCATGTGCCAGAGGCTCTCTAGCCGAGTAGTACAGCACAGCCCATCAAGAAGTCGGGGGGCAGGGGGGTGGCGCATGGGGCTAGGTTGGTGGGAGAAAGGAAAGGAAGGAAAAGAGAGAGAGAGAAGGGACAAAAAGAAAAAAGAAAAACAAAAAATGGTGCCACACAGCCGGTGGTTCGCTAGCCGAGCGGTGTGGCACAGCCCATCCAGAAGGAGCAGGGATGGCACAGGGGGCTAGCTGAGCAGGAGAAAGGAAGGGAGAGAGAGAGAAGAAACAAACAAAAGCCCCAAAAATAGTCACAACAACAAAAAAAATGGCACTGAAGGAGCCAGGACAGACCTGGGCAGCAGTGAGCTGGTGTCTCTTTGACCAAGAGACTGTGGCCCGCTGGAAAGTGGCAGAGGCTGCATAGAGGGAAGGAGGATGGGGCGTGGGAAAGCATGTATTCCTGGTTACCGGGTGCTCTATCTTCTGTTGGGAGCTCTGGGAAGTTGCCTTCCTGTACTCCCTGTCTGCCATTCTTGGTGGCTGAGGTCCAAGATGGCAAAGCTGTGCCTTATTAGCTAGTAGCAGACCTCCACTCCATAGCTCTCCTCATTCTCTGTTCTCTGTCAGTTTCTTATTCCTTTCGGTGCCTGATCGAGTTCTTTATCCTTTCATTTGACACGTAGGCTTCCAGCATTGACATTTGTATCTGTTTTACTTGATTTTTCAGGTCTTTGCTGTAAAGGGACGGCATGGTGCTTCTGTCTATGGTGCCATGTTGGCTCTGCCTTCACTGGAGGATTTTAAGTGAAGGAGTGATATCCCTCACAGTAGCCAAGAGATGAGTTTTATATACACTATCTCATTCCACATTTATAACCCTATGAACAATAGTAATGGCTAATGTTTATATACCAAACCAAACCCTTTGCCATCAAGTTGATTCCGACTTATAGCAACCCTGTCAGAGTAGAACTGCTCCATAGGGTTTCCAGGGCTTTAAATCTTTACAGGAGCCAACCGCCACATCTTTCTCCTGAGGAATGGCTGGTGAGTTCAAACTGCTGACCTTTTGCTTAGCAGCCAAGTGCTTAACCACTGCGCTACCAGGGCTCCTTCATGGCTATGTAGTTTTTTTTTTTTTTTATTGCTCCAAGGCACTGTTCTAGTACTTTTCATATATTACTTCATTAATCCTCACAACAACCCTATGGGTTAGCGACTATTATCCCCATTTGATATATGAGCCTGAGGTGCAGAGAGATTAAATAACTTGATTAAGTTCATAGTAGGTGGTGAAGTCAGGCTGTATGACCTTTAACCACAATGTTTTACTGCCTCTCGTTGAGGGAGGTATTCTTATATAGAACCAAGAGGATAAGTAACAATCTCAAACACACAGTGGGGAGGGCGTATGGCAGAGCTGGGATTCAAATGCAGATCCACACACCCTTAACTGCTTTCTTCGGTGTTGTTAGCTGCTGTTGAGTCGCCCCTGACTCATGGTGACCCTAGACCTTTGTGATCCATAGACTTTCACGGGCAGATTTTCAACAGTAGATTTCTTAGCCCTTATGAAATCTAGCTCCTCAATGTGGCCTCTAGGCCCCCAACCTAGCTCCTCCATGTACCCAGCTGTTCCTTACCTCTGTGCCTCTGCTCTCACTGTTCCCTCTGCCTGGGACAGCCTTCCCCAGGGTCATCGCTGGGAAGCCTTTGCTGATGGTCTAAGGCTAGGGTAGGGGCCTCTCCTCTCTACTTCCACAGTCCCCTGGGTTTACCACCATTAGCATTTGTCCACTTATTCATGGCCAATGTCTACTCAGTGCCTGTGCCAGTTAAATATTCTTAATTTAAAAACATTGTAAACCTTTTTTTTTTGAAGTAATTTCATATTGAAGTTACCAAATAGTAGAAACAATTCCTGTACTCTTCACCTAGTTTTCCAAAGTGCTAGTATTTTACCACATTCATGTTCCTATTCTTTCCCTCTATCATCTATCTATCCATCCATCTACATATATAGAATACGTCCTTCATAGAGAGGCAGTAAAACATTGTGGTTGCGAGCCAGAGAGCCTGACTTCACTGCTTACTAACTTTGAACTTAGACCTGTGCACGTCAATCTCCTCACGTGACAAATGGGGAAAATAGTCACTTGGATAGAGTTGTTGTGAGGATTAAACAAGGTAATATATGAAAAGTACTTAGAACAGTGCCTTGGGACAAAAAAAAAATGCTATATAAGGTGAACTATTATTGTCGTTCATAGGAACATATTAGCATCCTCTTTCTCTCTACCATTTGAGAGTAGGTTGCAGACATGATGTCCCTTTACTCCTAAATACCTCTGTGTCTTCCCTATAAACAGGACATTCTCTTACATATCTACAATAAAAACAAAAACAACACACAAACAGTTGATATCGAGTGAATTCTGACGCATGGTGACCCCATGTGTGCAGAATAGAACTGTGCTCCACAGGGTTTTCAATGGCTGATTTTTCAGTAGATCACCAGGCCTTCTTTCCAAGGCACCTATGGGTGGACTCAACCCTGCAACCTTTTGGTTAGCAGTCAAGTACGCTAACTGTTTGCACCACCCAGGGACTCCACATATCCTACAATTATTAAAGTCAAGAAATTAAGTGATACAGATATCTATAGATTTTATTCAGATTTTTCCAATTGTCCTTATAGAAAAAAATCCAGGGGCAAGGTACAATCCAGGATCACATGTTGCATTTGTTTCTTTAGTCTCTTAATCTGGAACACTTCCTCAATCTTTGTCTTTTATGACATTGACATTTTTGAAGCACATGGGTCTGCTCTTTTGTAGAATGTCCCTTAGTTTGGGTTTGTTGGATGTTTCCTCACACTTAGATTCAGGTTATGCATTTTTGGTGGGAATTCTGCCGAAGTGATGCTAGATCCTCATGTGTTCTCAGTGCATCACCTCATGAGGTACATGATAGCTCGTTAAATATCTTGAGTAGTCCTCCCTGGTATTTGTCTCCCCAAAAGGCCGGGAATTCCTGAAGGGCACTAGCTCACCTTCATTTTTTCCAAAAAACCAAAACCCACTGCCGTGGAGCCGATTCCGACTCATAGCAACCTTATAGGACAGAGTGGAACTCCCCCATAGAGTTTCCAAGGAGCGCCTGGTGGATTTGAACTGCCAACCTTTTGGTTAGCAGCCATAGCTCTTAACCACTATGTCACCAGGGTTTCCTCATTTTCTCCAGCTCTTCTGATAACCTTCCCTCAAATCTCTTTGTAGTTTCTTTGGTTTCTACGATGCAAATGAGACGGTCTTAGAGATGGAGGAACAACTGGTAAGCCTCCTGGGATCATGTCCCCTCTCTGCATGCACTGTCCCATCTCATTCTGAAATCTTCCGTCACTGACCCCTGATCTGAAGGGGTCACCCTGTGGGAAGGGGACCTGGCACACCGGTAGTCATTCATTTTGTCTCTTCTTGTGTCTTTATTCCATGCTTCCGTGCCCTTTCACCTACCTTGAAGGTTTATCTGCGGGATTCTTTTGGGCTGAAGACTCTCTTGGCCCGGGGGGCCATAGTGAGGTGTCCAATGACTGGGATCCCACACACGGCTTGGCATTCCAACCGTACCCTTTATGAGGACTGCATTGAACCATGGCTCTCCTGAGGACATCTGCAGGGGTCCCCCAGGAACCCCCCAACCCAGAGACCCAGTGGCGGCCTTGGAAAGCAGACGTCAGGCTCTGGCGTGCCTGTGACCACCTCGTTGCTTCCACACTGCCCCCCACAACCAGGGCTCCCACAGCCCCCGCTCCTTCATGAATGACAAATCCTAGTCTCCCCCCGACATCTCCTCTCATTTGCGGGGCTTTTCTATGCTCTTCCTTTCTCCTAAGGCTGAGGGTGGGAAGTGGGAAACCAGGTTTTTAACTTGTGGCTGCTACTGCTGCTGCTGCTCCTCCGTATCTGGCTGTACAGGAGGGAAACCCGGCCCCTGCCTACCACGGGGGTCTCCTTCCAGGCCACTCAGGACATTTTTAGCTTCTCTTCTCCTCATGTTCCCTTTTTCCTCTGAATGCCCTAGTTGTTAGCCCTCCCAACCCCCAGAAAGGACTGCCCCTGAGAGTGGGCTTCTGTGGCTCCCCTATGGGGACAGTCCCATTCTTGAAGTGTCAGTGTTGGGGAATATCTGTGGCCTGCAAGGCCCATCTCAGGTTTGGGATCCCCCAGTCCCTATGTTCAGTTTTGGGGTACCCCGTGGGAGCCTAGTTTCTCTGAGGCCCCACCCTCTCTTTTAGCTACCCTTGAATGGGGTGTTTCTCCTGTATTTATGGAAATAAAGTTCCATTTCCTCAGTGTAGCTTGGTTCATTTCCAGGTGAGGGGAACCTGGCTCCCCAAGGAGGGTGGGGATGGAGAGCCTGAGGCTTGGGTGCCCGGATGCCTGGTCTGGGGTGGGGACCCCACTGATGTTTCCGTTCTCTCAATGCCCATTCTATATGGGTTCCTGATTCTCTGCGGGTTCTTTCCTGCTGAGGACAATTCTCTTCCTGTCCCAGCCTAAGATTGGGGGGCTGAGCCCGGGGCTCCCGTGGTCTGGGCCCCAGCCCCATGGGGTGAAATGTGCCTGCCATCCCCCAGGCTAGACGAGGGGGCTGAGGGTCAGGGTGGGCATTTGTTGTGGCTCTTCTTGACCTTTGTAGGGCAGAGTTGGGTGAGGGGCTGGACAATGAGCCTCCTCTTCCCTGAAAGAAGGAATTTTGGCTGAGACAATAGGGCCCTGTCTGCTGTGGTATGGGGGGCGGCAGCTAACTCAACCCTGTGCCCCTCCAAGCCCTAGCAAATGTCATCAAGAGATGGGGGCAGTTCTCCCCTTGGTGCCTTGGGCTGTCCCCCTTGCCCAACTGCCCCTTTGTGACGACTTGCCCTTTTTTCTTTCCTCATCTGTTCTTGCCTCTTCTCCCATGATCTGGCCCCACATTGTTCCCTCAGCTCTGTCTCCCTCTCTGCCCCCCAGCTCTCCCCTAGTCTTGGCTGAAGGTGAGGGTTGGGGGAGGGCACTGGTGGTGGTATAGATCCAGTAGCTTCTGCTGATTTGGGGGGGTCCAAAAACAGGGGACCTCAGAGTGTTGGGAAGAAACTTCTAGGGGGCCCTTTGCTGGGATGAGGGGAGTGGTACTCAGACTCCTCTGAGCTGACCAGGCTAGAGCTAAGGAGGAGGCTTGTGGGAGGGGGCAGAGGTGGGTAGACTCTGTCTGGCCTGGCCCCTCCTCCTTCCCAGCCTGCCCAGCCTGCCCAGCCTGCCTACCAGTCTGAGCTTTGGCTGCTGAGGCTGGTCTGCCTGAAGTCTCTGGGGAGAGAGACGCCAGGTGGGAATGGGAAGAGGGGAGGGCAGGTGGGAAATGTCAATGGGGAGGGAGTGCTGGACACTCAGACAGGATCCTAGGGTGTGTGTGTGTTGAGTGTTGTGTGAGTGAAGGGTGTAGGTGTGTGTCCAGGGTGTATGTGATGGTGTGGAGTATGAGGGTAGTAAAAAATACATGTAAGGTGTGGAGTTTCCAGGTAGGTGGGTTTGTGTGTTTGTAAGGTGTGAGGGGGTCTAGAGAATGGTGAAGAGGAAATGGTGTATATCTGGGGTTTTGAGGTATAAAGATTAGGGGCAGGTTTGAGATAGGAGGGTCACTGAGGTATATGTCCCTCAGGTTTGTGTAGAGGCCTGGTTGGCTAGGTTGGAGGGGTGGTGGAGGGCGTGTGTAGGGTGTAAGCCTGTATGAATGGTGCTGCATGGATCATGCTGTGCTAAAGGAAGCTGGGGCGGCTGGATGAATGTACATGTAGGTGTAGACATTCCTAGTAGCTAGTGCCAGTGTATATAAGTGAGTTTCCTGAATGCCTTAGGAGACACTAGCAGACTGCTCTTGGTGGAACTGGGCTTGATGAAGTTAGTAGGAGAGGGGAAGGGCCTCCATTAACCTCTTCCTGCCTGCAGCCCACAGAGTCTGGTGTCAAGGAGAATCATGGGGTCCAGAATTGAGCTGTACACTCTCTTAAGTGGACTCTCATTCTTCCTGCTACTGTTGCCAGGCGAGGGGGCCAAGGGTGGATCCCTCAAAGAGAGGTGACAACAGAGGGGGCGGGGCTGGGGGTGATGTAGTCACTGAGCATTCCGTTGGGGGTGGAAGTTTAGAATGGGGGTGACGGGTACTCACCGTCACTGGAGGGAGGACAGGGGCCTCAGTGGAGCCTTGAGAGAAGTGAAGCTCCCCAGGGCCTGGCCCATTCAATATCTCCCAACTCCTCTGGTGTGGATGCAGTCATGGTGTCTGCTCCAAGCAGACGCTGGTGGTTCCGCTCCGCTACAACGAGTCCTACAGCCAACCCACATACAAGCCCTACCTGACCTTATGCACTGGACGACGTGTCTGCAGCACTTACAGGTGAGGGATGGGGAGTTGGGACTGTGGGGATTTCTCAGGAGGGACCCCAAGAGCCCCAACTGGGAACCGCATCCCAGTGTCCTGAGCTGGTGCTGTGTTCTAGGACCACGTACCACGTGGCGTGGAGGGAGGTGAGGCGGGAGGTGCAGCAGACCCACACCCTGTGCTGCCAGGGCTGGAAGAAGCGGCACCCAGGGGCACTCACCTGTCAAGGTGAGGCTGGGTCTTCCCAGACCCTGGGGGAGGCCCGCCCTTCCGGGGGCTGGGATCATCAGTCAGGGTCTGTCACTCTCCCTTGCACTCTCCTTCCTCTCCCCCGCAGCCATCTGCACCAAGCCCTGCCAGAACGGAGGCATCTGTGTGCAGCCGGACCAGTGCGAGTGTGCCCCTGGCTGGGGTGGGAAGCACTGTCACGTGGGTGCGTCTGCTCCCCTCCCCGGGGGCCCCCTACTGTGGCACTGGGGGCCTCCCTGCCCACGCCATCGCCTGGCCCTGCCCCATCCCTTCAGCCCCCTCTTCTTTTCCCTAAATAGATGTGGATGAATGCAGGACTGGCGTCACTCTCTGCTCACACCGCTGTCTTAACACGGCAGGCAGTTTTACCTGCGGCTGCCCCCATGACCTGGTGCTGGGCCCAGATGGGCGTACCTGCACGGAGGGCTCTCGGGAGCCCCCAACCAGTGCCAGCATCCTCAGCGTGGCTGGTGAGCCGCGGGGGTAGGAGCCACAGGGAGGGCACGGGGTCAGCAGTGGGGGCCCCAGCAGTGGTGATGCTCTTTGTCTTAGTTCGGGAAGCAGAACATGACGAGCACACCCTAAGGCGGGAGATTAGGGAGCTGCGTGGGCGCCTGGAGCAGCTGGAGCAGGTGAGCAGAGGCACCTGGGCCCTCGGGGCACAATGGGCCCCGCCCCAACCATCCTGAGGTGTCTCTTTCTTGGCAGTGGGCCGGCCAGGCCGGGGCCTGGGTCAGAGCTGTGCTGCCCATGCCGCCTGAAGAGCTGCAGCCCGAACAGGTGGCTGAGCTGTGGGGCCGGGGTGACAGGATCGACTCTCTCAGCGACCAGGTGCTGCTACTGGAGGAGAAGCTAGGTGCCTGTGAGTCCTCCCCCACTTCCTCCCCACCAGGGACCTCCTGTCCCCCACCTACCTTCCCCAACTCGTGGGAGACTCCTCCCCATCTCATGCTTCCTCTTTTGCCAGAAACCCTCCCCAACACTCTCTCCCCACACCTTCTGGATATGCCCACTTCACCACCCCTCTCTTCCTGGGAGCCTAGTCCAGTGGTTCTGGTTAATTGTTGGGTGAGAGTGTCAGTCTCTCCAGCACCCCCTGCCCAGCTCCAGCCTGGAGGCAGCCCCCACAGGCCACAGCCAGTGTTTCTATCTCCTTGTCATTAACCAGGCTCCTGTGAGGACAACAGCCTGGGCCCTGGCCTCAACCACCGATAAAGAGCCTCTGCGGCAGCCCTGCCCCCTAATTTATACAGAAACTGGACCCCCTAATCTTCTGGGTTTGGCTGGCTGGGGAGTTGTAGATAAGGCTGTCTGGCCACCTAGGAGCAAAGGACACTGAGGACAGCTGAGGAAGAAAGGGGGAGGCAACCTGCCTCAGCCCACCCGAGTCTTCAATCTCTAACAAACAGAGCCATAAAGAGCCCAGATCTCTCTCTCTCTTTATTCTCGGTTTCTTGCTATTAACCAGATAAGTAATAAAAACCAATCACGCAAAACTGTGTCCCACCCTCTCCTTTTGCTCCCAGCCCACTTCCCCGATTGTGGGCACGCATCTGGGGTGGGAGGCAGGGAGTGGTTAATACCACAGCAAGGAAATGAAAACTGGCCCAGAGAGGGAAAGCCTCAAAAAAAAAAAAAAAATAAAAATAAAAAAATAAATTAAAAGCCCTATCCCCCCCAGCCAGGGTTCAGTTTCTTCCCCAAGTCCCCAGGGAGCAGAAGTGAGTGCAGCAACTGATGTCTGCCTCTTCCCCTTGTGTCTGGTTGGAATAGTACAGTGAGGCTGCAGGGGGCTGGGTGGGTCCAGGACCACTGAAGAACTGTACCATGGGGGTGTGTTTGCGGGAAGCAGAGAAAAATGTGTGGAGACCAATCTGGCCGTGTGTGCCCAGGAGTGTATGGGACCCTAGGCATCTGGGCACAGGCAGGGATGAGACCTCTGAGTTACAAGAGTCCAGCCGCCACTGACAGGTGGCTCCATGGGGCGGGAGTAAAGGTGCTGAGAAGTGTTCCCAGGATGAGCCTGGGAGGATTGTTCCAGGAGCAGATGGAAGTATCAGCTTCCAGCCACAGGGTGAGGAGTCCTCCTCACAAACGGATGAGTCCATTGAATCCATGGACTTGGAGTGGAGGGGAACTGTTCCATAGAGTGGATGAGTCCACTGTCCAGTGTGGAGTGGAGAGGGAGAGAAGACCACAAAAGAAGAGTGTCCACTGGGGACAGGATAGAGTGTTCCCCACCCTTGTGAAGGCTGAGCCACTCGAGATGGGAGGAGGCAACTGTTCCACAGACAAGATGGCAGGAGAAGGGATCAGAGTGGAGACTGCACCAAGGCAAGAGAGCCCATGAGTGGGGCTGGGAAGGGGTAGGGAGCGGTGCTGTATCCACATTCACTTCAGAAGTTGAAGATTCCAAAGAGATGAACAGGTGGGGAAAAGGGAAATGAGGAAAAGGGCTGGGCCCTGCTCCAGGGCCCACTGGGCTGGTAGGTATGGGGGAGAAGACAGGGTAGATGGGAGGGGAGCTCACAGCCGGGCCTCGGCCACCCCCCCAGGCTTCTTCAGATAGTCACCACCACCCCGGCCATCAGTGGAGATTTCCCGGAAAACTGTGAGCATGGAGTGCCGGACTCTGTCAGCCAGCGCTGGGACGTCATCTGGTATCAGCCCTTCTGTGGGCACTGGGGGCAGCACTCGTACCTGACATTGCCCTGGGAGTAGGGAGGGAAACTGTCATGGCCTGTCCACCCAGGCCTCTGCCTCCAGGTGGGACCCAGCTCCTCCTGAGCTCTCCTGTTACTCCCTCCTCAGACATACAGTTCTCTCCCCTTTCTACCAGACAACCACCCCTCTGCCAGCAGCCACCCGTTCTCTGAGGCCCCCCTCCACAAAGCCTTCCCAAGACCCCAGTCCACACACCTCTTCAGCATGCTTTCAGCCCCGGTTGTCTGGATTTAGCACTTACTGCAGTGTGTTATTCATTATTGCTTTGCCCACACAGGTCTTGTCTTTCCCACTAGATTACAGCCCCTCTTGGAAGGACCAAGTATTACCCATCCAGCAGCGTGCATTTTACACATGGTGGGTGCTGAATACAGACAGTCACCAGGTTACAAACAAGATCCGTTCCTAAGTCTATCTTTAAGTCGAATTTGTAGTTGGAACAGGTACATATAGCTCTTATTTAGCATCAGTTAGTCAAACGTTTGTCTTGATTTATAGTATATATTTTACCTTTCTATGCATATAAAACACTTAAGAAACACTCCTAAACCGCACAATGTTTTTACAAGCGTCACAAAGTACTGCATTCACTCATTATTACGAACCACTGTATTTAACTCAAATTTTTAATATAATAGGTTTTATGGCAGTCCGTTCTTAAGTACATGTCCGTAAGTTGGATGTTCATAACCTGGGGGCTGCCTGAATACTTTTTGAATGATGTGGGGTCAGACTAGTTGATCCCATGGATTCCTCGCAGCTCTGACATTCCACACTGATGGGTCCTCATGTCTCATGGGGATGTCCCCCAAGCCTCTCCCATGGCCTTTCTGGCACCCCCCACCAGCCCTAGCAAGAGCCCTCACCCGAGGTGAAGCGGCGCTCCTTCTTGCAATAGAAGTCTTGGTAGGAGGACATGACTATGGGGACAATGGGAACCTAGTGGAGGAGAAAAGGGAATTAGTCTGCAGCCTCCTTCTGAAACCCTCACAGGAAGCCTCTGGCCAGAGAAGAAGGGATGATGGGGTGATGGGGAGCTTAGCAGAAGGAAAGGGAAATAGTAATTACCTGGGCCTGGACTGCAAGATGGAAGGCGCCACGTTTGAAGGGCAGCATAGAGCCATTGTGGTTTCTCGTTCCCTCAGGAAAAACCCAGACCCGCACCTGAGGGAGAAAAGGGTCAAGGAAGACACACGCATATAGAAGGGTCAGAAAGTGGGTGTGATGCTATGATGGGACCTCTGAGGCCCCTTTGGCCCTGCATATCAGTTTATTTACAACTATTCTACTCCACAGCCCCTGAACTCCCATTTCCCCAGTGTGACTCACGTCCTGGGTAAGCAGGGTCTGGGCCACCTCAGACATGACATTGATGGCATCCCCTGTGCGCTTCCGGTCGATGAAGATGACTCCTGCCAGCCAGCAGGCAAGCCCAGCAGAGCCAGCCCACAGCAGCTCGCGCTTGGCAATGGGCACACAGCGGCCAGGCAGGACCTCCATCATCCCTTGGGCAGAGGTGGGGTGAGGGTGAGGATCAGGGTGGAGGTAGAATGTCACAGGAGGTAACTTCACCCAGGTCATCACCCACATTTCTAGGGACTGGAGGTAAAGGAAGGGAGGCACTGGGGGTGGGGCAGGAAGCCCCAAGTGGAGGAAGGAGTGAGTAAAGGTATATACGTCCTGCCTATAAGGGCAGCTCTAGGGAAAGAAGGCTTGGGAGGGAACTAGGAGGAAGATCCCAGAGGAGAGGAATTAAGGGCTTCCAAGGCAGGGAATTCTGGGGAAGATTCCAGAAGGAAGGACATGGCTGGGCGAGGTGTGCCCTGTGGAGGTGTCTCACCAAGTAGGTCGAGGGAGCTCTGGTGATTGGAGACAACGACATAGGGCTGTGAGGGAGGGAAGTGGTGGGCCCCTCGCACCTCCACCCGGATCCCGTACAGGTATTTGATGTGGAGCAGCATCAGACGCAAGATCCTGTGGGGTCACAGCAAGGGGCTCCGGTGGGATCCACTGACATGCTCCCTGCCTTGGCCTCTCTGTCTTTCTGGGCATCTTTGCGGCACTCTCCTCCTTCCTTGTCCCTGGCCTCTCAGCCTCTCCCACACACCCCATGCCCCCCCTGTCCACTGCTCACCCTTGATCCTTAGGATCCCTCATCTCCTGCCTCCCCTCCCCGCTCACTTCATGTTCTCGACGTTGCGTCCTCGCACAGCACACACAGGGATGGCGAGCACAGCCAGGAAGAGGATCCAGCCATTGTAGAAGGCCATTTTGAAGAAGTACTTGGCACTGGGGCTGCAGAACCACAGGGTGGGAAGCAGGAAGAGCAGCAACAGGAAGAGCAGCAGCAGCACCATCCATGCCCCTGGCCACAGCTCCATTCTGGCCACCTGCAGGGGACAGGCAAGGGGCAGTGGGCCTGGTTCCTGGAGGGGAGCAGGGCAGGTAAAACACAGAAGGTAGGGTGGGGGACTATGAGGACAAGGGCCAGGGCTCCCACTGGACACCGAAATCTTCTCAGATAGCCTCTCCAGGATGGGGGCAGTGGGGATGGGAACCTCAGGACTGCTCCTTGCATGCCCCAGATCCATTCAGACAGACAAGAGACATGAGACGTGGACATGACAATTCACAGGCATGATAATAAAAGGCTGATAATAATAATGATAGCTAACACTTGTAGCTGGTAAGGGTCTTATAATGGTCCGTACCGGCACTGCCCAATATAGTAGCCACCAGCCACATGTGGCCACTGAGCACTTGAATTGTGGCTAGTCCAAACTGAGATGTGCTCTGTCAAATACACATCAGGTTTCAAAGACTTACAATGAAACACAGAATATCAAATATCCCACTAATAATTTTTTTATATTGATTACATGGTGAAATGATGATCTTTTGGATATGCTAAATAAAGCATATTATTAAAATGAATTTCACCTTTTTGAATGTGCCTACTAGAAAATTAAGAATTACATATGTGGCTCGCATTATATTTCTGTTGGACAGTGCTGGTCCACACGCTATGTTAAACTCTTAAGTATGATCTACACAATAACCTATGAGGTACTATTATTATTTACGTTTTATAGGAAGTAGATCCAGAAATGTTAAATGACTTACCTCTAGTCATATAACTCCTAAGAGGCTGTTCCTAGATTAAACATAAGCAGCTCATACTCCTAACCACTTGGTTATGCTGTCGCCTGTATGTATACGCTACACACAGGTATACACAGCAAACAGCAGATAGAGTGATAGTGCCAGAACACACACAGACACACACTGAAGAGCTAACTGGTAAGAATAAAGACTCACATCACTAATGCAGACGCAGACACGCACTGTAATGCAATGACGGGCACATTCACATACACACACACAAGTTTACAAACATACCCAGTAACAGATACCAACCAACCAACCCACTGCCATTGAGTCAATTCTGACTCACAGTGACCCCATAGGATTTCCAAGGCTGTAAATCTCTATGGAAGCAGACTGCCACATTTTCTCCCATGGAGCTGCTGGTGGTTTTGAATTACTGACCTTTCGGTTAGCAGTCAATTGCTTTAACCACTGCGCCACCAGGGCTCCTCAGTGACAGATAAAGGAATGTAAATGCATAGCTAGAAAAATCCCTCTCCACCCAGGCAACCTCCCCTGTTCCCAGTACAGGCAATTGCTACCTACAAAGACAGGCAAGCAAATTCCACCACCCCCCTCCCTCTCTACCAACAAACCCTGGAGGCAACTTGGTCAGGCAGGTAGAGTGTTAAAGGCCTCACCAAGTGGAGAGAGGGCAGAGAATGAAAGGAGCATCACACCACCTGCCTCAGGAGAGGAAAGGGCTCAAGAGGAAGAGGCCCAGGCACACAGCACCTGCCTTCTAGTTCTTCCTCCTTCCTCCACTCTGCCCACTGCTGGTAGGGTCACATTTCACAAAAAGGGTATTCAGGCTAATACCTGTCATTCTCCCATTAAGGTCACAGGCACTTCCTCCCGATGACAGAAGGGCTGGACTCAAAGGTAAGCCCTTTGCCAAGGGTGAAGGTTAACAGGCAACACAGGAAACACAAGCTTCTGCCAGCTCTAAAACGGGGCAGTTACACACAGTGTAACTTTTGTGAGCTGCTCCATCCCTGCTGCCCCTGCCAGCTCAGATCAGCTTAGATTCTCCCCTGGACCCTAAGCTATTTGCAGTAGGTTCCTCTTTTCCCTCAAATCCGTCTTCCAAATGGCAGAGTTTTTTGTAGCACAAATCTGAGAATTTCCCCATCTCGTCTAAAGGCCCTTCTTGACAAGCTGACTTCTGCTTACATCTTTGGCCACATCCCCACAAAAGCCATTTTTGCTCCAGTCAAACTGATTTACTTTAGTTCCTCAGACACTCCATTTACTTTCATGCTTCTGTGCCTTGAGCATGCTGTTCCCTTTGGCTGGAATGTGCTTCCCCCTCTTCTTCACCTGCCTCACAAGATGACTGTCACTTTTTAGAAGGCTTCTTGAACCTTCCAGGCCTGTGTTTTTATTACACTTTTATTTTGATGAGTGGTTCTCAAAGTGTGGTATCAGAATCGCCAGGGAATGCTGTAAATGCAAGTTCTTGGGCCTCACCCCAGACCTACTGAATCAGAAATGCTGGGCATTGGGCCCAGCAATCTGTTAAACAAGCCCTCCAGGTGAGCCTGATATGCACACAAGTTTGAAGTCCACTGATCTTGACACCATGCTGTGTGTTAACTGCTCACTGGCATTTTCATTTCCTTCCCTCAGCTGTAAGCAGCTTGAGGACAGTGACTGCCTTATCTCCAATGCCCCAGAGAGGAGATAGAGTTGACACTCAATGAACATTTGCTGAATGGATTATAAGGCTGTACCCACACACCCACAATTAATGAGAGAAGACAGTTCTGATCATGAATCAGATGGCTACACCTTTCAAGGAATAGTAACCATAAAAAGAAAAGGCACCACGAAAACAATGAACACGCCAAGTCTAACAGTAACCTATTCTGAATACACACAAACAATACACAGGCATGGTGAAGGCAGAGTGTAGATGTCAGCTCACAGACGAGAGAGACATACAGAATAGGGGCCTGCATGTCACAGGGGAAGGAGCATGTTGCTGCCATCAAATATACGCCAACAGTGCAAAGAGTGGGGTGACTAATAATGTCCACAAACAAAACCAGATGATGGGGTGGGGGGGTCACTGACCCTGTGACATGCACTGATGAATTCCACGGACAGACAGTACACAGCCACTGCTGAGATAAGGTGAATAAAGAGACACAGGTCAGGGAGCTCAGCCAAGCAAGGCATATGGATGGGATGGTTCTTTGGGGACCTGGGGGCCCAGTTACCTTCCTCTTAATATGTGATGTCCAAGGATTTAGAAACACATTGGAGTGCCAAATGGGTTAAGAAGCAAATGGCTCACAAAAGATACTGCCAATAAAATTATGAAATAAACAATACGTGTAACCAGAAGCACACATACTATCACATGCCACATCAGTGTGTCCTGAGAAGGAACGTGTACATGTAGTGTGAAAACACGCACAGCAAACAGGCCACTCCAATCACAACATGAGTGTGTGCTAGTCAGCTAAACCATTGAATTCCACGCATGAAGATTCTGGCATAGACCATGGACATGTGCACCAAGACAAAATAAGGTATAACCTTTATCTGCTGAAGTAGACATACAAAAACATAAAACATGCCAGTACACACACAGATGTGATATATGAAAACACACAAAGAAGTGGTACTTGAACATGTCAGAACTGGATGGGAGACATGGGACCCAAAATATGAGAAATGAGTAATTCTGAGGGAAAATAACACATCATTTCTCCATAGCCCATGGACAATACAGGGACAACTGAGGTACACGCAAGCCATTAAATGTGTCAAAGGCACACAGGCTCAATGTAGAAAACATGCCCCACACAAGGCATCTGTGTCAGTAAGGGTTAGCACAGTGTGGAAGGACACAGTGGAACCTGAAGACCTGTGCCTGGAGGGAAACAAGAGAGGTCTCTGAAGACATTCCCAGGAAGCAAATTCTTCTGGGGGGGGGAGGGCAATAAACCGCCTTCTTCTTTCCCCCTCCCCCCTTCAAGAGTCATGTGGGGCCAAAGACCAGGAAGCGGTATTGGGGAAGGTGTAGGGAATGCCCTCTTCAGGATTCCCTGCCCACACCCCCAGTCCCCAATTCACAGGGTCTCCATCTCTCCTCCCTCCCGTCTGTTCCACCCTTCCTCCCTCTCTGTCCCCCTCTCCTCTCCCCAGCATCCCTCTCCCCAGTCGACACTCCCAGACCCAATCTCTCCCCATCCCCTCATCCACGTCCCCTTCAGCACCCTCCTCCCTCCTCCTCCCGTCCCTTTCCGCCCCCACCTCAGTGGGGTGGGGGGCCTGGGGGGCTGGCCCCCTCCCCAGCCAGGTTGCGGCAGCGGTGGTGGCGGCTGGCTGTGTCTCTGCCTCTGTCGGGGTGTCGGTGCCAAAGGGGCGACGGGATTGGGGGGTGTCCTAGCCCCGGCCGATGGAGGGAAGGTGGGAATGGGAGGCTGGGCCCATAGCGGTAAGAAATGATGGAGGGTTGTCCCCCCAGATCCCTCCCTCCCTTCCTGCTGTCTCTCTCTGAGAGCTGCTGCTGCCGCTTTGCCCCCCACCCCTCCCCACCGCCTGCTGGTTTCCGGGGCCGGCCAGGAAGTGGGGGGCGGTGATGGGCGGCCTATTTTGCCAATCACCTCCCAAGGACCCAGGCATTTCCTCCCCTCATCCTCTAGCCTCCCCTAGCTAGCTCCTCCTCGCAAGAGCTCAGCTGGGTTCTGCTTCTGGCCCTCTCGGGGTCCAGCTGTTATCTTTTTTTTCTCCAACCCCTTTTCAGCACACACAGCTCTAGGTCCCTGGGCGCTGTGTTCTTTCCTCAGCCCATTCCTTCCCCTCATTCTCCATCAGCTCTCCACTTGCTGCCACTTTTATTTGGTTGGTCTCTTTCTGGTTTCTCCCTTTCTCCTTAACTCCCGTATCTGTTGCTTCTTCTCTCAAGCTCCAACTCTTCTCTAAGACCCCCTTTCCTGTCCTCGATTCCGTTTCAAGCATTTATTATGCTACGCATTGAGTTCTTTACCTCTTTTCTCTAGGGTTCCATCTCTCCTCACCTCACCCTCCAGCCCTCTGGTGTAGTCTGGTCTCTTTCACCCCTTCCCTCCCCCATTATCTCCCAGCAGTCCAGCTCCCTCCCCCACCCTCTCTGGCCTTCAAAGTTAAGGAATATTCCCTAGCCCTTTCCCCTTTCCCTTCCATGCCGTTTTATTTACTTCAGTACTTTTTCCTTCCCAGTTCCTTCCTTCCTACCAACCTCCTTACTCAAGCTGAGCGAACCCTTCCCCCCCCAACATAGAATGTGGCTGCATCTTTTCTTCCAATGGGTTCCTTGAAAGAAAAAAAAAAAAGTGGGTAAGAATGCTGATTCCTCATCTAGCTCCCTTTCCAACCCTGCTCCCCTCTTCCCCATACCCCAGGGTGCCCCATATCCCTTTACCAGGATCGTTCCCTCACTCCTTCCTAGGTCTCCACCTCTCCCTCTCAATTCCTTCTTTCCTAAACGACCTCAGGCCTCCTGAACCCTCACCTCCCCCGTCTTCTAGGCATCTCCCAACTTCTCACCTCACCCCACTTGAGTCACGTGGGACCTTTTATCAGTGTTGCTGAACAGCCTTCAGCCAGCGACTGCCTCCCGCCCCTAGACACACCTTTTCCTTGAATGAGTTTTCACACCCTGGGGATGAAGATGTAAAGAACACTGGCAGTGGGAGGACTGTTACCTAGTTCTGCTCCTTGGGCCAGAGTGAGGGTCACTGTAGGAAAGGCCCAAACTCGTAGGAAAGGCCTAAGCTCTGAAGCAGTTGCCAAATTCCTAGGGGTCCAGGCCAGTAGGAAGACCCCAGTTCTGCAAGACACATCGTGAGAAGGAAGGGGCGGGCCTAACCCCATTCCGTCGCGTGTCACCTAAAAAGGGGCGGGCCCATCTACACCCACGCACAAAGGGGTGGAGACAGACCTTTTCAGCTTTTAGGCTTAAAATGGAGTCGAGGTCAACTCTGTTCTACCCTGTGTGTCACACTAAAAAGGGGATGGGCCTTTAGCTCAGTTCTGATCTGTAAATCACCTAAAGAGGGACAGGCTGAGCTGTCCGGCCGAGGGAGATGGGTTAACACCAACGCCGCAGATAGATGCTCGCACCGTCCAAACGTCGGGCTGATCCCAGTTCTGCTCCCTTCTTCACTAAAACGGAGGGGCGGACCCAAATTCTGCTCTCTACGTCACCAAAGGAGGTCGGAGCCATTTTGAACTCTGAGACCCCAGTATTTGCCCTCTTTTCCGAGCTCTTCGCCGTCTTTCCAGATCTCGGCCAATCAGGGGCGAAGGAAACGGCCCAATCAGCCGAGAGAGTCCACAGCCAGAGGACCCGGATGAAGCCATACCGGGGCCTTTGAACCTAAAGCCCGGCCAATTGTAGAGCAGTCACCATGGAGACAAGACGGTGAGGGGGTGGGACTATAGACGGCTCAACCCTCTCAGGATTGGGCTGGTTCGGCCCATCGCATGCTGCGCATGCACATTTTACCTACTCTCCATTTTCCGGCCAAGTTCTAACCAATCAATTGCTTTGGAGTCACAATCCAAAGTCCAGTAGGAACCCAGACTTTCTCTGAAAGAGGAAGTGAAGGAAAGAAAAGGGTTTATAGTGGGCGAGGTCTATGCAGTCCGGAACCAATTGCTTCTGGCCTTTGTTTATGACAGGCAGTTATTCAGATAAATAAAACCCTCCCTGGCTGAGCGACAGGACTTTCGAGTTATTACCATCCCCATGGCTCTACATACTGACTGCCACTGTAGCAACCAATAGTCTTTGTGCAAGGGTGGGACCGCGCAAACCCCTTTCCGCCCGTATTATACCAATCATTTTCCTTGAACCCTATGTGATTGGCAGGCACTCAGACCAGTAGTGATTAAAAAGCCTTAAAGCCTGCCCAATTATCGTGGGCAGGAGGCGGTTTCTCGTTTGTTGGGGTGTGTGTATGTGTGTTTGGGTGTACTGAGGGGGTACGCGGGGGCGAAATAGAATCGGCCATGGCCGCAGCAGAGGAGGAGGACGGGGGCCCCGAAGGGCCAAACCGCGAGCGGGGCGGGGCAGGCGCGACCTTCGAATGTAATATATGTCTGGAGACTGCTCGGGAAGCTGTGGTCAGTGTGTGTGGCCACCTGTACTGGTGAGAAGCGGGAAAGGGGGGCGGGAGGAGGGGCTCGCGTTCGTACTGAGGAGGCTGGCGGCGGGGGACCGTACAATCATACAGCTAATTAGAGAGCACATCCCTATAGGTGAGACACGCGGAGAGGATCTATGTCTCTTTAGGTATGTGTGGGTGGGAGGGTCGCGTCTGTAAAGACAGACCTGTGGAAAGTAGGGGTCATGGGAATTAGGAGCTGGGGCGTGGGGTATGTTAAGAGAGTGTGAGACGGAAGGGACACAGTGTGTAAGGAGACACCAGCTTAACAGTGGTCTTAGCAGTAGAGACGGAAACAGACCCAAAGGTTAGGGGAGGCATGCATTAGTTGAGGGTGGGAGACCCAGGGAATGGTAGGATCACATTCAGGTGAGATCTGGGAGGGGTTGGTATGACAAATCTGGGGATAAGGGCACTTGGGAGATTAAAGGGTCCTGGAAATAGACTTTATGGGCCTGAAAGTGAGTGGAAAGGAGTAAGGGGGAGCTATGCTAATAAGGGGGTTTGGCTTGGGAGTGATGGGGCTGGGTTGAAGGTTAACTAGAAATTAAGTCTACAGGCAGAGGATTGAGAATGTATGTGTGTGTGTGTTGGGGGAGAAGAGGATTGAGTGTGTTGAGGATGGTTGGAGCTTCAGGTGTTGGAAGATCAGAGAAGCAGGAAGGCCAGGTTGGCTTTCGTGGTAGAGGTTGCGGAAAAGATGAAAAGCGACAGCATGGATACCTGGGAAGGAGTGAGATGGATATCTATGAAGTCTGGGTCTGTGCATCTTTTCTATAGTTAGTTTGACCTTTTTTTTTCTCCCTCCCCCCATCCAGTTGGCCCTGTCTTCATCAGGTGCGTACTCAAAGGAGATAAAGAGGGAGATGGGGAGGCCTGAGGAGCTGGAAGACTGTACTGGAAACCACTTCATTTCTTTTCTCTTCAGTGGCTGGAGACACGACCTGAGCGGCAAGAGTGCCCAGTGTGTAAAGCTGGGATCAGCAGAGAGAAGGTTGTCCCACTTTATGGGCGAGGGAGCCAGAAGCCCCAGGATCCCAGGTGAGAGAGGAGGTGGTACTCAGGGAAGGTCGAAGGCTTTCTGCCCTGGGAGGGGTGTGTGGAAGAGGAAAAAAAAAAAAAAAAAAAACTGTTGCCATTGAATCAATTCTGACTCATAGTGACCCTATAGGACAGAGTAGAACTGCCCTGCAGAGTCTCCTAGGAGCATCTGGTGGATTCAAACTGCCGACCTTTTGGTTAGCAGCCATAGCTCTTAACTACTACGCCACCAGGGTGTGGAAGAGAAGAGGAGAACATTCCTGTTAATACTCCCTTTCATCTTTCTCAGACTGAAAACTCCACCCCGCCCTCAGGGCCAGCGACCAGCTCCAGAGAGCAGAGGGGTGAGTCTTCTTCTCCCACTGTGTCCCTTCCTTGTCCAAGACTTGCCTGGCTCCCCTCTGACTTTCTCTGCCTCCCTAGGGATTCCAGCCATTTGGTGATACTGGAGGCTTTCACTTCTCATTTGGTGTTGGTGCTTTTCCCTTTGGCTTTTTCACCACCGTCTTCAATACCCATGAGCCTTTCCGTCGAGGCACAGGTAAGAGCCATCCCTCAGCTCCTACCGGGGAGCCCTCTGAATCCCCTCAACCTGCTTCCCGGCCCTGGAATGGGTGCTTGCTCTACAGCCCTTCTCTCTCCCACAGGTGTGGATCTGGGACAGGGCCGCACGGCCTCCAGCTGGCAGGACTCCCTCTTTCTGTTTCTCGCCATCTTCTTCTTTATCTGGCTGCTCAGTATTTGAGCTGTGCCTCCTTCCTGCCCACCTCCAGCCAGAGGAGAATCAGTATTGGGGGTCCCTCCTGACCCTCCTTACTCCTGGACCCCTTTCCCCCAGCCCCTCCACTTCTGTTGCCTAAGGCCCAACCAGCCACTCTCAAGGAGGGCACAGGGAGGAAAAGTGGTATCTGGACACAGGATGGGAGAGCCTTCTGCTCTGAACTGCTCACTCATTCTAACTCCTGGCCCTGAGGAAGGCAGACAGACTGAGGAGAATGTCTGTTTATCCTCTCTCCTAACCCTTTGCTTTCCCCCAGATTTCTAGATTTCATGCTGAAAGGTGAGCAGGGTTCCTTCTGACTCTCTCCCACTCCCCACTTGTTAATTTAATTTTTCTCTCCCCAGTGTTTAGTATGGGTTCTGACTCTAAATGCTTCCTCCCACTCACGACCTCCTTTATTACAAATTAAATAAAAAAAGGTGAAATGTATTGGTGGGAACTCTTCCCAAAGTCTTCCTTCCCTCCACCTTCCAGGACAGGAGCATCTTTTCCCCACCTTGAGTAGATGTTTGAGGTGGTGTGGGGCAGCATGGGGGAGAGCTGCTCCAAGGCTCTCAGGCATGCAGCAGGTGAGGTCACCACATAAACACACACACACACATAAGAACATGGTGCAGGATGTGTCAGGTGTTTACTTGTCACTGTATGCAGGGGGCCCTGGTTGTGGAAGGAGGTTTGGCAAGTTGGGGTAGATATTGTACAGGGAAGAGCTGGGCTGGGGCCAGAACAGCGAGAGGGAAAAAGAAAAGGGAGCTGCAGCTGAGGTTTGGCTGTTGACCCCTCAAGGCCCTCCTGCACTGCCCTCAGCCACCTCAGGCTCCTCCGACTGATTCAGCTCTGCGTGCTCCTCCTCCTCCTCCTGGTTTTCTGGGGCCTTCCTGGGGAGGAGCATTGGAGAGAATCCTGCACATGGTTCCCAGCACTCCATTGTTCCACCCCAAACCCCTCACTTGCTGCCTGAAAGCCTCAGTCTGAGATATCTGGCTTTCTTCACTCACCTCTCCTCTCCTCGGTGTTTTCGCCTTTGCCACATGATGATCCCAATGAGCAGGGCGGCTGTCCCCAGGCCTCCCAGGATCCCCAGGGCCAGGGCTAGAGTTCCCAGCCCCAGCCCCCCAACAGAGCCTGTAGGGAGAGGAGGACTGAAGGCACAGTCCCCACCATTCACTCTTCCTTTCTCGTTGGCCATACCCCCAGCCATGTGTCTTGGGGTGTGTCTGCCTCTGCTTCTCTGACCTTATCCAACCCCTCACCTGTGGTTGTCCCCTCCTCACCTGTTTCTGGAAGACAAAAAGTCAGAAGGGAAGTCTTCAGTTTGGGAGAGGGCTGTTTAGTGGGGCCCCAGTGGAGTGTCTTTCCCTTTCTTCAGTTCAGTGGGGAGAGAGGCTTCTTTAGGGCTGGGCTGCTCTCTTGGCAGAGTTTGTGTGGGGCAGAGGAGGCCTGGGTGTGGTGCACCAGGGAAGGGATGGCATGGCTTTGGGACAATGCCAGGCTGGGGTAGGGAATAGGAGCTTGCACTGTCCCTTACCCTAGCCCCAGGATCCCTGGGATTTGGGGGGTGGTCTCACCGATGATGCTGATGCTGACAGCAGGGCTTTCCTGGGGCCCGTGGGCGGGATAGGTGGCCACACAGCTGTAGGTTCCCTGGTCCTGAGGCCCTACCTCAGGGAGGAGCAGCACGGGGCTGGGAGGCAGGGGCAGGGGCATGCCCTGATGGGGGAACGGGACAGGACGCTATTATGAAACTCCTCTCCACACATCCCATACTCCTGTATCTATACCCTCAGATACCCTGTCTTCCTCCCCAGCTCCTAGCCTGCCTCTCCATCCATTAGCCCCGCCCTCCCTCCAGTTGCCAGTGATGTGTCTCTCTACCTCCCAATTCCCTCTCTCCAGGTCACTCACATCCTTGAGCCAGTGGATCTGAAGTGGGGGCTGAGCAGGGGCTTCACAGGTCAGGGTCACAGTTCCACCAGGAGCTACTGCTCCACCTTCTGGCTCGACCACTAATTGGACCTTCTCCAGGGGCACGGGCTCTGGGGCCGGGGAAAGGCATGAGGTTGAGAATCACACCTGTGAATGGTACTGTGGAGATGGGCTTGTCCCCTCTCTTCCTGAGGGCTATGTATCCAGAATGTGCTCGCCAAGCTTGGGCCCCTCCCCAACTCTGTGCTCACCCCAGACACTGGGCTGGATGGAGGCTGCATGCAGGGCTCGGCGCCGGGGCAGGCCAGGGCTGAAGCTACAGGAGAAGGTAGGGCGAGGAGCTTGTCCCAGGGCTGGGGTCACCATCAGCTCCGACTGGACTGTGAAAAGCCCTGTCTCAGGGTGTCTCCTGGTCTCTTCCTTCACAGACACTCCTGGGGTGGGAGGAAGACAAGATGAGACTTCCAAGGGTGGGTATGGGAGAAAGGTCAGAGAGAAGGCAGCTTGGCAGCTCAGAGGGGGACCTTGGGACTAACCTTTCCCATCAGATATCAGGGGTTTCCCATCCAGGTGCCAGCTGAGAGTCCCTGCAGGGTAGCCCCCCTCCGACACACAGGTCCCCACCTGGGGAAAGAGTGACTACCTCATTCTTTGAAATAGAGACTTCATACACATACACACCCAGCCACACTCCTCTCTCATTCACAGGGTCACCTTCTTCTTTTTCTTCCACTACCTTATTGGGGATACCAGCTGTGAGTTCAGAAGCAGGATCTACAATTTCTGGCTTCCCAGGAATCTCTGGAGGAGGAAAAATCCAATCAGAAGCTGCAGCATTGAAGGTTCTCATACCCCAGGTGTGGGGATGAGGACAGCAGAAGTCAGAGGTTCTCACACACCAGGGCCAAGGAGCCAAGGGCTGGGGTTGAAAGCTTTTCCTTAGAGGAGAGGTGGGCCCTGCAGAAGGCCCTGGAACCCTTACTGTAGACTTGGACTTGGTAGTTGGACTTGGTCTCCTTTCCTTTCCGGCTCATTGCCCGGCACCGGAATGTCCCCTCATCCTGGATCCCGACAGCAGGAAGGAGGAGGGAGCCGTTGGGGAGGATGCGAGCTACGCTATCCCAGGAGTCTCCCTGGGTAGACAAGACCTTCCAAGCTTCTGTCCGGCCTGTGTTCTGGGGACAGAGAAGAGGGGCCTAAGCAGTGCAAGTCCTGTGGAGTAGGACTGATGATGTAGGAAGATGGGGATGCAAATCATCACTGGTATCTCTGGAAGTTAGGGGGCTGGGCAGGAGCCCTGCTTACCAGTTTCCATTCCAGCTGCTGGGGTGGTTTCTTGGGGGCCCCCTTACAGTTCAGCACCAGTGGCTCTCCAATCCGGGCTGTGATGTTCTGACTGCCTACTACTGCTCCTGGGAGACAGCATTATGGTGAAGGGGCAAGGGAGATAGGGGCTGATGAAATTAGGAGAGTTTGGGTGAAAGAGCTTGAAAAGCAATGCCCAGGTTCCTAGTCAGTTCTGGGGAGACTGGGGCGGGGGGGCTCACAGAGTGCTCTCTGCAGTGGAAGATTGGTTGGGGGGGAGTTGGCAGGGGGAGTAGCTCACCCCACAGACTGAGGACCAGCACCCAGGCTCCAGCTGCTGCCCCTGCTGCCATCCTGCTTCCTCCCCAGGCTCCTGACGCTGTCTGCCCCTTTCGCTGCTGTGGCCACCGCCCTAAGGAAGGCTTGCACCCTATCCCCTGCCCCCATCTCCCCATCCCGTTCAGTCACAGGGAATGCTAGGAATTCATGCTTCTCTGAAGGGCCCTTCAGGTACTAGGAGAAACTAGTATCACCCCACCCCTGGGTACTACCAGCCTATGGGCACAGCCACACCTGTGGGGGTGGGTAGGTACACCTTCTAGTGTCTCTCATCCCCTCAGGGACCCCAACCATCAGGACCCACCACCGTATTCGTATTCCATCACTGTCTGCTGAGACCTGCCTGGTGGACGACCAGAGCCCCATCTTCACTAGGCTAGGTTGCTAGGCAACCAGGTTCAGGCCAGGCTGTTGTTCCCAGTGGCGAGGGAGATGGGTGAATTGTGGGCCTGGATAGTAAGGGCAAGGCTGGGAGGAGGCATTAGGGGATCTTGGGGAGGAATCTGTCTGGGGCTTTGTGAGAGAAAAAAAGTTTTTCTGGGGTTTCTCATGTTTTTGAAAAAAATTCTCAACTAAACCCAGGGGGAAAAAAAAATTTCTTTATTTAAAACTGCGGTTTGTTCTGTGAAACTACAAGTTTACAAGTGAGGAGAGAACTGCCCCTGGACCGTGCCTCCCGCCGCCCACCCCATCACACTCCCAATCTGCCCACATCTTTGATGGGAGGGGTTTCCCACTCAAGACAGTCTTGTTAAATCCTGAGGATGTTTGAGGGGTTCAGATGGCAGGGCTCGGGGCCGAGGATGGGATGGTGTTGGTTTTACTTTTCCCCACACCTGGCTTTTTGCAACCTCCCTCCTCTCTCTCCCTACCCCCTTAATTTTGGCGTGAGAAAAAAGATACCTCATTTCTGGGGAAACTGAGGAAGATACATACACAAGCACCCCGACCCATATTTAACATATTTGGCAATAACCCCCTCCCGATCCTTCCCCTTCCAATCTGAAAATAGTTAAAAAAAAAACGACGTGTCACAGGGGAAGGTAGCACCTTCGATTTCCTCAAAATTACTAACACTGAGTCCAGACCTACCCAAGGGTTGTGGGGAGAGGGGGATAGAAGGCCAGCAAGGCACGGCCCGCACAGCCTCCACACCAAATGCAGCATCCAGCTGCCTGCACAAGCAAAGGAGAACACCTTGGCCACTCTATGGGTGAGGGATTGGTGCCTTGCAAAATTCACTTCCTGATGGACAGGACTGGAGCCAGGTGAGCCTCTTCATCAGTTCTGTTTGTTTCCCTTTCTCTTACCAGGACCCCTTTGGCTATCACCCCTAACATGGGAAAGCAAGAAATCAAAAAAAAAAAACAAAAACAAAAAAAAACGACATTATTTATAAAAATGTCTACTTCCCCAAACTAAATTAAAAATCAAAAACCAACAACAACAAAACAAACCCCCCCCCCCCAAATACAGACAGATCCCAGGGTTTCTTTTTTTCCTTTAAAAAAACAAAAAGTTCAACCCCAAAGCCCAGTCAACAATTCCCTAAAGTAGCAGAAACTCCCTCCGAGGTAGATATCTGAGTCAGACACTCTCGTCCACCGAGCGATTCTATTGGTTTAAGATGAGCTGCGTATGAGGTAATAAAGCCATCTGGAGGAGCAGGGTGTGGGGATGCACAGGGGGCACGGCCCATGTCCTCTGTCCAGAAGTTGTGTCCCCATTTTTGGCATCTCTGGTTGGGCAGGGCTGGTGTCTCCGTAGATTCCAGAGTAGGTAAGTCGGGTGGGAGGAGAAGTAGGAGAAGGCCAAAGAGAGAGAGAACATAAGAGAGAAACAGAACAGTTGTATGTGTATGAGAGAGAAGTCTGAAAAAGAGGATTCTGGGAGTGTGTTTCTGTGTAGGAGAAAGGATGAAAGGAGGGAAAAAGGGGAAGACAGACCTCACTGTCCCCTTAGGGGACCCCATTCTCCCTGCCATGTAGCTACCACCCCCAGCACTGAGAGTCCGATCCGGGAGGGGAAGACCCCATTTGCCCTTCTCTGTCTTGTGCTTCTCCTGCGTCTGGGGTTTGTCCTCTGGATGCCTGCATCTTCTTCAAGAGTCGCCTTGTGAGCCCCCGCCCTGTGGCCCTGAGGGGCAAGATCAGTTGGAAGTGTCAGAGTGAACGCTCCCTGGTCCCTCTGTTGGGGATGTCACTGAGGATGGGGTTACAGCCTCCTGCCAGCCGCCATTTGCCTGGAAAATGAGAGAGAGAGAGTTAGGTGAGGGCCCTAGAAAGCCCTGTGTGGGGACAATGCGGCTAGAGAGAATGCCCTCCTGTCCTTGTGAGAGCCAGAGAGAGGGGGGCTTTCGGTATCCACTCACCCTCATTTCCCGGGGGCTGTACATCTGGCCTCCTCCGAGGTTGTCCCCATAGCCCCCAGGCCCCATCGAGTGTCGAAGCGATTCCACCTGCAGGCAGCATAGGAAGGTATGACACAGTGAGGAGAAGCTACAGAAGAAAAAGTTCTTGTATCTTAAAGAAATGGAAACAGGGTTTGAGAAGGCCCTACTCAAGAGGAGATGAGACATCTGACCTGGGAAGCAGAATAGGAATCTCCGTTGAGCCCAGGCATCCCGAGAAACATGTCTCCAGATCCTGAGAGATTGAAAGAGCCGCCAGAGCCTTGGGGAGCAGAGAGGGAATTAGGAAAGCACAACAGAGCCCAAAAGGGCAGACAGGAGATTCACCACAAATCTCAGTTTCCAAAAATCCTTCTGCACTAGCTCTTTGGGGGTGTGCTACTATACCCAAACTATCCACAGAACAACACTCCAGCACTTGGAAAGAGCAGGCTGTTCCCAAGCCACCTCTGGCCACCCGCTGGAAGAAAAGCAGAAGGAACTACACCGGAGTGGCCTCTGTCCCGACATTCCCACCTTGTTTCAGCTTGGTCCCTTTCACCCCAAAATGCCCCCTCTACTATGATCCTGCCCAGACAAGAAATGAGAACAAAAGCAGAAAGTGTGCAAAACAGCCAGGCAGGGTGGCGGTGGGATCCACCTGCAGAGGAAGGGGGTGTCGGGGAGCTGGTGCGGCTGTGGCCCCCCTGAGTGACTGACACGGCAGTCTTAACGGCATAGATGTTTGCCTCCTCTTGAAATTTTCCAATATTTTTCTTATAGCGAATCCGTTTGTTGCCAAACCAGTTGGAGACCTGTGGGGTATTGATTGGGCAGAAAGAAGGGTCAGGAGGAAACCTTTCCTTCTGAAGCTCCTCATTCAATGGGAGCTGAGAGCTTTTTGCCTAGACTCTTTCTCCTCAAGCCACCCACCCCAATACCTGAGAGACGGTAATGCCACACTTCTTGGCGAGCTCTTCCTTAGCCTCTTCGCTAGGATACGGGTTGCTCAGGTGGGAGTAAAAATACTCATTTAGGACCTCTGTGGCCTGTTTGCTGAAGTTCCGGCGTTTTCGTCTACAGGGGAGAGAGAAGGGTGGCGAGGAGAATGTTGGTGTCTTAGAACGGGCACCATGTTCCATAACCCCAGAGAACACCACCATCACAAGGTACCACGTTGTACAACATGGTGGCTTGGAGGCTAGAAAGGACTAGGAAGGAGCCCCTGGGCCCCACCTGGCATCCAGGAAGCGAGAACGCAGGATCATGACAGCCTCACAGGTGCTCTGCTTGAGCTGCATCTGGATGGCGCTGAACTTTCGATGGATGATGCTCACCATGCGCTCCATCTCCTTAGGTGCCACGGGCCGTGTACGGCTCTGCTCCCTCAGCAGATTCATGACGTGGGTTGTGAACTCGTTACATGCCTGCATGGGGGCCCAGGGGTCAGTGAGGAAGAGTCCTTAGGCCTTGGGACTTCCCCCAAGAGCCTCTCCCTCCACTCACCCCAACCTTCTCTCCTCACCTGCTCATACTTCTCCAGCTCCGAGTGATAGATGTGGCGAATCTGGGCAAGTTTGCTGCGATAGTCCGAGTGTTCGATGGAGTTGTCAGGGGATACGCCACCCCCAGAGGCTGCAGCGGCTGCAGCTGCTGCTGCTGAGCCCCCGCCTTTCTCGGGTCCAGCCACACCCTCTGCCAGAAGCATGTTGTCCAAGCGCATCAGCTGCGGGTCCACCGGCTCCTCCTCTTGGGAGCTTCGGATGCTGAGGCCTAACGTGTAGGCAAGTGGACTTTGGGATCCAGGGTCCCCCACACTCCGCTCTCAGCCCTCCTAGTGCCTCTTAGAGCCCCATGTTTCCCAACTTTGGTTTCCTTCCCAGTCCCCTTAGCAACCTCCCTGACTCCTCACTTTCCTTATGACCCCAAGTTGTCACACTCTTAGCCCAAGTCCTACAGTGAACAGGGTTCTGTCTCCAGAGTTAAGGAATCAAAGGGGGACCACATACCGGTCTTCTCCTTGATTTCACACAGGACGCTAAAGAGAGCAGGCTTCATTCGGTGGCAATTTAGGGCATGTTTCCTTCAGAGGAATGGGAATGGGGAAAGAGAGAGAAAAGTTGAGGAGCTAGAGGAAAGGAACAGAGGGTAGGAGAGGAGAGCCTGAAAACCAGGGGAGAGGCGGGGAAATCTGTGGAAGGAGAAGGGAAATAGAAAGTGGCATTGGGGGCTGAATGGATTTGGGAGACCTTGGGAAGGGGCCAGCTCACAGAGTACAGGAGATGTGGGGAAGCTGCTTCGCTTCGGGAAGACTGAGGGAAGATGCTAAAGAAGCCATGGGTGGCCTGGGGGCTTTGCAGAATGGTCTAGGAAGGGTACGGGGAAGAGTTTGGGGGGGGGGGTCACTGGAGAAATGAGGGTGACTAGAGGAAAAGGGAAGGAGGCAGGGGTGGAAAAGAGTCAGAGTTTGAGGGTGCCAGAGAAGAGCTGGGGGTGCTGAGCTCAAGTGCGAAGTCCAGTATAGACGTGTGTGTAGGGGGCCTGGGACTGAGCAAGGTGGAAGATGTGACCGGCCTAGTGTCTGGCTGAGCTGAGGGGTAAGGGTGGGTGAGGAGTGTTAGGAGCTCTGGGGAGGGGGTACAGGGGCCCCCAGGTCTGGAGAGTTAGGGGAGAGGACCGCATAGCCTGAGAGCAGTTTCTTAGCCTGGGAGCCAGAAGGGGGCTCCGGAGATGGAAGGATGTTCCAAGGGAGTGTGGGGGTCAGCGAGAGGTTAGTAGGTGGGGGTGGTAGTGGACCACCTGGGGTTCCCTCTGTGAATGTTTCAAGGCCTGGGGGTGAAGGGAGGTTTAAGAGGGATCACTTATCTCGAGCCCCAGGAGTGAGGAGAAAAGAGAGCTGAAGGATTCTGGAAAGGGTTTTGGAGTTACGGGGCCTCCCAAAAGATTCAAGAGATGGTGAACGGGGTCCTACCAGGTCTGTGTGGGGTCCCGGGGTGGGGGCACTCACTTGGCCTGGGCCTCGTCCAGGCTCTGGTCGGTGATGGTCATTATCTGCTGCAGAATGTCCCCGATGTCTTGCTTCCCTCGGCCTCCCGGGACCCCCCCGCTGCCCCCACCGGGGTCTCCGCCACCGGGAGGCTCACCAGGGCCCCCGGGCTCCCCACCCACCAATCCCAGACCCCCCCGACCCCCGCCTGGAGGGGGCGGCCCCAGCAGCCGCTCGTCCATAGCTGGGGGGGGCCCTGGGGCCCCCTCCCTGCTCCGCCCCTCCCCCCGCCTGGTTACTGTCCCCCAAAACTCGCCGGGGCCGCTGCTCCCTCCGCCCCCACCCCCGCCCGTCTCCTCCCTCCCGGCTCCCCCGGGGGTTCACCCCGGCCCTGAAGGGAGACCTGGGGTACCGGCTGGGCGCCCCACAGGAGACCCCGGCCCCCGGCGGCGGAGAAAATGGAGCCGGAGAGAGAGAAGAGGCCCAAGCGGGGGTGTGTGAGAGAGAGG